GGCGGCACCACGGGAGGGGCTTCCGGTGACAGGCTTGGGAGACTGAGGCGCAGGGAGCGGGAGGGGCTTGTCCTGGCTCACCGAGGAATCCGGAACTGGAAATAAGCACTGAGCACTCAACGTATGAAGGCCCTGGAACACACTGAGACGCAGCGATGAGCGATCTCGGCCCGGCCCTCTTCTCTCGGCGCTCTTGTGCGTACCGGTGTAGGCCCACGGGGGAAAAAGGAAACATAGCTCAATTTGGTAACGAGTGCTTTGAAGACCTTAAAACACTAAGCTTAATACGATACCCTATGACAGTGTCACAGTGACAGCCATGGGAGTGGGAGTGAACCCAGCTGCTAGCAAGAGCTGCCACCCCAGGCTGAAGGCCAAGTACCAAGCACTGCCTGTGAAGAGCGGGGTGCTTCTCTGGAGTCCTACTCAAAGTCTTAGAGAAGCAAGGAGATAAGCAGATCGCATTGTAGGCCCAAAAGGACCCCTTTCTTGGATCGTCCCAGATTCTGGGAAAGGACCGTCATTGACTATTCACTTGACGTGGATTTGTGCTTCTTTGTTTCCCAGGTACTGTCATGTGCAAGTACCTGAGGAGCTCCTAAAAGAGCTGTTGCCAGGACCAGTGACCCTGGTGATGGAACGCTCAGAGGAGCTCAACAAAGACCTGAACCCCTTTACTCCTGTGAGTCAAGTTTTCTCCTTTTCTATTTTATCTGGCTTTCTCTGGGGTTCAAAACAGATCTATTCCCCACCCCTTCCGACCTGCCTGATGATCTTTCCCCTTACTTTAGCTTGTAGGCATCCGGATTCCTGATCATGCCTTCATGCAGGAGTTAGCCCAGATGTTTGGGGGACCTCTTGCTCTCACCAGTGCCAACCTCAGCTCCCAAGCCAGTTCTCTGAAAGTTGAGGTGAGAGTCTTTTCATTCCTTCCACCTAGAAACACCAGCAGGCTAAACAACGTTTCCTCTGAACCAATGGGGTAATGGTGGTCTGGAAATGCAGTTTTTTTGGCTACCCAGTTGACATAAGTTTGAGGGGACATCCAAATAAAAGAATCTTGAAAAGGTTTTCTGTTAAAGTTTTAGAAGATGGGAGAACTGTTGTTCTGTTTCCAATATCTTTGTAATAATAGGAGAGGCTGTGATAATTAAAGTTTTGAGGGGGTACAGTTGTTAAGACTACAAAGTTAGGCTTTAAGCCTTTTCAACAGTGCTATAAAGAAAGGTGAAGAAGTTAGGGCTTTGAAGAGTTAGGTTACTTCTTCCAGCCATTGTTAAAGTTTTAGAAGATGGGAGAACTGTTGTTCTGTTTCCAATATCTTTGTAATAATAGGAGAGGCTGTGATAATTAAAGTTTTGAGGGGGTACATGTGTTAAGACTACAAAGTTAGGCTTTAAGCCTTTTCAACAGTGCTATAAAGAAAGGTGAAGAAGTTAGGGCTTTGAAGAGTTAGGTTACTTCTTCCAGCCATTAAATGGCTGACCTAGATTTTCATCCTTTTTTTTTTTTTTTTTTGCTCTTTTATTTTCTTTTTGCGGTAATGGGGGTTGAACCTAGAGCCTTGCAAATTCTAGGCCAGTGCTCTACCACTGAGCTACATTCCAGCCGTTCTTCTTTCTTTTTTCATTTTTTTGGTAACAGGAATTGAACTCAGGACCTCGCACTTGCCAGATAGGCGCAGCTCCGCTTAGCTGCACACCCTGCCCCTGCTCTTCTTTAATTTTTATTTTGAGAAAAGGTCTCACCAATTGTCCAGGCTGGTCTTGAACTCAGACCCTCTGCCTCAGCCTTCTGAGTAGCTGGGATTACAGCCATGAGATTTTTATCTGGTTTTGGATTCCTAACCTTGTTCTCTTACCTGTGCTACAACTCAGGTTAATGAAAGTATCATCTTAATGGTATCTTGGCTACATCATTTGGAATGAGTGGGGACATATGAAATTTCACTTTTTTTGCTAAATTCAAATTTAATGGAATGCATTAGGTGGTGGGGTTTTCTGTGTCCGGGCCTAGAGAGGGATCAGAAACTGCAAGCTCAGCATCCTTCTCATTCTCAAACTGCAGACTTTATTTGGTCTGGATAGCTATGCAGAGGTGGAGTGGATAAGGATGGGAGTTGGGTTCTTACCTTGTCAGCAATCCATTGATCTACTTAACACAGTGGTACATACCTAGTATTTGTGATTCCCCCGCATTCCCAGCCCTAATTGCACTGCAGTGTCTTCAGTGGAGGGCAGGAGAAAGCCAAACCACAGACCTGGTAGGAGCATCCTTCCCACCGCACAAGGACTGAGTACTGGTAGCATGCACTGGCAGAGTCCATCTTGTTTCCTCTCCCTGCCCCGATCCAGGGCTCACTGAGATCCCAGATCAGAGCAGCAGAGGTAGAAGGACACCCCTTGTTTTGTAGGCTTGGGTGGAGTAACTTGCATGTGCCACCCAGACATGGTGGTAAGTTCAGGGATCGATCCTACATCTCCAGACTCCCATCCAGAACCCTAGTCAGTGTTCTTACTCCTCCCTAACATGAACAGTGCATATAATTTCCTTTCAGTACACCAAGACCTTCTTTAAGTTCTAGACAAGTGTTGCATGGGGTTCTAACCAGGAGCACCACAAACCTCAGAGGATGCTTGGCCTGGGTGCTATCACAGTGCCCTTGGTACCACTGACCTAAATTAAGTGAAGTTCCCTTCTCTGCTTAGAGGAAGAGGCCTCTTTCAAAACTGAGGCCTCTGTTTTAGGAAGCAAGTGCAGTGTGACTTGACAGGGGACATCAGGGATCATGGCTATGCTTTTCCTTTCCTTCTCCAGGAGTTCCAAGACCTTTGGCCTTCTTTGTCGCTGGTCATTGATGGGGGACCAATTGGGGATTGCCAGAGCCTTGAGTGTCGCCTTGGCTCCACTGTAGTTGACTTGTCTGTGCCTGGAAAATTTGGCATCATCCGTCCAGGGTGGTAAGTCTCTTTCCTGTGGCAGTTTGTGGAAAGCTGGAGAGATGAAAAATAGCTGTGACAAAATGAAGGTTGTCACTCTTGCCTTGCCCTGGCAGGGTGCAGGCAAGCATGGAGAAATGACAGATGTGGTAGGACTAAATTTGCTGACTTTTTGGGGATTCACTATGTTTGATGAGCAAAGCATAAGACCAGTGAATTTCAAGGCTCCAGGTCACCAGACTCTGGTGGGCTCAAGGGCTTTGAGGAGTCAGACTGTAACCATCCTATTTTGTCCTCTTCAGCGCCCTGGAAAGCACTACAGTCACCCTCCAGAAGTACAGGCTGCTGCCCTCACATGGGTCCTGCTCATGAACTTGGGGAGAGTGGGGGGAACCCATGGACGGTACTGGATACTGTGTGTCTTTCTGCTGGTGGTTGGTGAGGCCTCATTTGAGAGGCCACAGGAGCCACATCACTAGCCCAAGCCGTTACCCAACATGTCTTCCTAAACACTAGACCAGAAGCTACTGGCTTAGCTTTGCCTTTCAGGAAGGTGAAACTATTCCATAACTTTGTGTATCAGACAAAAGCTCAATAAAGAGGTGAAGAACATTCCTAACCTACCTTTATTTTGACATTTATCCCCTCTTTTAAACTGAAAAAATAACTTAAGTTACAGATTTAGAATCTAGGGAGGATCTCCTTTGGAAGGTGGTGGCCTTTAAGATCTAAAGTGCCAAGAAGTATTGGCACAGTTGAAAAGTCAGGTAACCAAAGGCAAGAGTTTAGCCTTCTGAAGCCGGCACCAGGTTAGGATAAAGATCATAGAGCCACACGCCAAACACTTTGCTCTGAAGTGGTTAGTTGGAGGAAGAGGAGTCACCATTTTGGTCTAATGATAGGAAATCTGGTGGGATCAGGGGAGGGCCCAAATTAAACAATAGGGAAAATAAATCTCTACTATCCTTTTAGCCAGTGCCTATTCCTTATTTATTTATTTATAGAGTATACTTAAAATTATATATCTAGTGCCTTTAATTCCAATGTTCACTCAGCTTTTTATCTATTCACATGTATACCAACTGTTTAAGTTACAATTGGGCATTTGAACTTTTTACTATTAAAAAATGCTGCTAGTGGGCCAGGGATTTAGCTCAGTGGTTCTGCCACCTGCCTCGCAAGTGCAAGGACCTGAGTTCAATCCCCGGTACCAAATAAAAAAATGCTACTAGTAAATTTATTTGTAAATGGTTTATTATTTGTTTTCTTTTTTAAATTGTTTCCTTAGGGTAAGATTATTAGATCAAAGTATACATACGCATTTATGGCTCTTGATGTATATTAACCTTCAAGAGAAATGAATCATGTTTCTTTGCCATCAGCAGTGCGTGAGGATAGCTGGCCCTTCCTGCTGGCCTTGCCCTATTTGTCAAGTTGTCCGTGCAAAATAAAACTACTACATGCCAACATCCAGCCTATCAACTGTCCTGCCTTCCTGCCTTGGTTTCCTCAACTAAGCCACAAGCTTGACAGCCAGCATTGTTCATTTTTCTGGTGGCGTTTAGTGTCAGAAACCAAAATGGGGCTGGGTGTCCTTGTGATGACATGGGGTTCGCTTCCCCCCACTTTCCTCTGGATCCCATTTCCCAGAATTATGATTCAGTCTTGAACCCATTGTCCTCTCAGTACAGTGATTTCCAGTGCACATTATTTCAAGTATATCCTAAGACTCTTGCCAAGGTGTTCCAGGGCCTACTTTATCGAGCGTCCCTGAAATTAGCATATTAGTTTGTAAATAAGCTTGTTAATTATTCCCTCTAAAAATCTTAATTTAAACTAGTAATTTCTCAAGCAGAGCCACTCTTCATTGTGCTAAAACTATAGCCAGCCCAGGCCACATGTCAAAATCTGACTGAGGTCAGAATTCACGGGGTCTTAGAGCAAAAGGAATGTGTACTTGAGGAAAGCACTCCGTGTGACCACAGTAGTCCTCAGAGTGGCATTCAGTTCAGACAGCTGAAGGGAAATGTCCTCGTTCTCTCCCAGGGTGGGATACTCATCAGGATAAGTAGGCTCTGGAGCAGAGGTATTTTCTCAGAGGAAAAGGTACTGGACTAACATGGGTGAAACCACCAAAATGGAAAACATAACTGCCAGGCATTAGCTACAAGGCCACACCAAATAAGGAAAACTGGGTCCTGTAGCATGGGGAGGATGGGAGCCATTCCTAGGTCAAGATTTTCCTAGCACCAAGCACATAATAAGGTGCTCAGTTAGTATTGAGTGAATGTGACTGCTCAGGAATATTTCCTGACAGCTGGGAGGAACTTAAACCTGTAAGTTCCCTTTCAGAAAGTCTCAACTGGTTGGAATCTTCAAGAAGACACAGTGAGGGAGGCCTCACAAGGGGACACAGACTGGCAGAAGGAAGTAGGGTGCATGCTAGCTCAGAACACTGTAAAGCTTTCCAAGAGCAGTAACTGCCTGACTCCACTACACAGTAGCAACCTGGTGCAGAGTTCAAAGCCAGAAGAGATTATATCAAAGCCGTCTGAGGACGTGGAGATGCCCTAGGCTGCATGCAGTCACCTGCCAGCCTCTACCCTTCTCTCTGGAACACCACCTTGCTTTGCATCCCTGCAGTGGGCCCCAGCACACTTGTCACAGCAACAGGCTCTGTTCCTACATGTGCCCTGGCTTAATGACCACCCACCCAGAAGCACCCAGCTGCTGACTTGGGCCAGTGAGTGCTTGTGCTCTCAGCTGAGCCTACAAGGTGACATCTTCCTGCAAGGCTTGGACGTCTGCCTCAGGCCCCTCACATCAGCCACTGCTCCTTCTCCTTGATGAAGTGCTCTGCCCAGCGACGGGTCAGCTCCAGGTACAGGCTGGGCTGATGAGGCAGATAGTCCAGATACAGGCGAGTGGGCGTCTTCTTGGGAATGGCCTTCTCAATCTGCGTGCCCTCATGCCACTCATTGAAAGAGGTGATGGAGACAATCTCTGGCCTCACTGTCAGGGCTGCCTGCAGCGCTGTCTCATAGTACTTGCCATTGACCCTGTTCCGAGTATTGTGGTTATTCCAGGGCCGGATGCTAGTGTCAATGTAGCCAGGCCCCACACTGGGAATGAACATGAGATTGTTGGCATCACAAAAGTTCTTCACAGCTTTCCAGTTCTGATGGGAGGAGCCAAAGGAGAAACCATTGGAGGCAAAGTAGGTGTACATGCCATCAAATCCAGCAGCAAGGATGTCATGGGTGTGGCCTTCCTCTACCAGCAGCGCTATGAAGACTCCATCATAGGGTGTGTTGCGGATTGAATGGGGCCCATTTGGTGTCAGGAGGCGTGCCCAGGCCTCAGGGGTTGTCAGGTATGAGTCGTAGATGTAAAACAGTGGGAGGCTTTTGCCCATGCTGTTCTTATAGCGGTAAAATGCACCATGGGAGCCATACCTGAAGAGCAGGAGGAAGGAATCTTGAGTTGGACAAAAGAAAGCAGCACAACTATGTGAGCAATAGCTGAAGTCATTCTCAATGCCCACTGCACAGTTTAGGACCCAGCCTGTCTCCACAATGAAATTTACCAGGGCAAGGACCAGCCTCCCTCTCTCTGTTCTCCAGCCCTATCATTCCTAAGGCTCACTGCCCCACCCCAAGCCGAGCTACTGCCCTCTTTCATCTGGATTTCATCAGTAGCCACTTAGCTGGCCTTTAGGCTTTCGTTTTGCTTTCCTATGACCTATTCTTGTTTATATTTATTTATTTGGCATTGGGGGTTGAACCCAGGACCTGCACACTAAGCTGCATCCTTAGCCCTTTTTTAAATTTTGAGACAGGGTCTCACTAAGTTGCCCAGTCTTGCTTCAGCCTCCTGAGTAATGGGCATTATAGGTGTGTACCACCATGCTGGCTGTTTATTTTGAAACAGTCTCACTATGTAAGTCAGGCTGGCCTTCAATTTTTACTTATTTATTTATTTATTTATTGGTACCAGGGATCCAGCTCAGGACCTTGTGTGAGGCAGGCAGCAGAACTGCTGAGCTGAATCCCCCCCGGCCCTGGCCTTCAATTTATGATCCTGTCTCAGCCTCCCAGGTGCTAGGATTACAGGTGTGAACCACCACACCAGATTCCATTCTATTTTAAAAGTATAAATCAAGCTGATCCCAGCCTGGGCAACTTTTTTTTTTTAATTTTTTTTTTTTTTTTTTTTTTTTTTTTTGATACAGGGGATTGAACTCAGGCCTTTGCGTTTGCAAGGCAGGCAGCAGAACCACTGAGCCAAACCCCAGCCCTAGGCAACTTATTCTTAAGTGTGAATCAGACCTGACTGTTCCTCACCAGAACTTGCACAGCCCCACCTTGCTCGATCTGGACTCCCTACTTCATTCCTGCTATTATCCCACACATCTTATTTCCCATCTGGCCTTTCTATTCTGATACCTTGTCTAGCTGTTCCATATTATGGAGTTTGCTCTGTTACCCTCCTGTCTGGAATTTTCCTTCTGCTCCCAGATATTTGCAGAGCTGACTTTTCTTTTTCCTTTTTTTTTTTTTTTTTTTTTTT